GGGCTTATTTGAATCGAAGCGAAATTAATCGCGCAAGTGAGCTTCCAACCTTGGGTCATGTGCTTCACAGGGTGAACGGTTCTTGCCCAATGGTTGTCATGAACGATATAGAGCTGCTAACGTGTCGAGCCACCGGATGGCCTAGTGGATAGAGTGAAGGTTTCGCAATTGGACAGTGAGGTGGATTGATGGTTCGGCCTCCTCTTGCGTTCGTGGCTTTTGCATTTTTTTAGGATTTCGGCTGTTTCTCGCTTCCATTAGTGTTCTGCGCATGAGTACTAACTCAGATAATTTGCCATTTATGGCACATCTGAGTAGCTTGTACCTGCTAATGAGTCAGTGCTATTTCAACTATTTCGATTTTCACGTCCCACTATATGAACAAGATTGCTTGCTGGTGCGTTCATCGGTCATAGGCTCACAGTGGATCATGATTGCGAATTTTAGCTAATTCATTGGCGTTGGTGCGCAGTATTCGGAATTTTTAGTAATTCCTGTGTGGTGCGATTTACTCAGACATATTTGTGGCCCACATTGTCGTCCTTCATCCACTTCAATTCGTATCACTGTTCACACCAATTTATAGAACGCTTCAGCGCTAATTCTGTTGTCAAATTGCGTGGACGCCAGAATAATGAGTTATATTTTGTGAGTTCAGGACCACTGATGGGACACTAAAAACGATTTATTGCGTTAGAACAACAATTGTTCTGACCTTTCTTGGGTTTGCTTATTGGCGTTGTCCGGGTTGTCCGTAGCGCAACGTACTTCATCGCCTGTAAACGAAGATGTGCAGACTCTGCTCACACTGCCGACGCAAATCGCGTCGGTCACTACAACCCGAAAAAGTCAAAAAAAATTTTTCGCTGAAATTTTTCTAGGGGTAAGTCGACCCAATCCTGCCATCATCGACTTCTAGACTTTATTTTCGTTCAGTGCCATCTGGCACGGCATACCGCAGGAAGCTGAGTCTGTGCATACAACGAATTTCGAAAGAAAAAAGCAGTTTTGCTTCCATAAAAGTACGATTGTTATCGTGACAATGTTTTTGTATAGGACACCAATTATTTAAGCAAACATGGATCCAAAAAACTGAAAAATTGTAGAATAAGCAAATATTTTGTCCTCGGGCGGCATCCGACCATCGACCTTATTTTTTACGTTTTTTTTTATTCGTGACAGCGCTCGCACGCGAAATGAACCTCCAGTTTTTATCTCGGTCCTCGTAAGTGTGCCCCTACCAATATGCCACAAGACCATTTTGAAAAAGTCACCACGCCTCTGAAACGACCTCCCTTGTTAGACAGCTGTTTCACTCACACCCATTTTACAATTTTTCAAGTCGTATACTAAGCAGGAATTTCGGATAAATTTATATATGTTAAATGAGAGTTAATTAAAAACTGTAACAGTTGAGTAATTACTTTGAAAGAATGCTAGCAACACAGTATTATTCAATCTCGCAATTTCCCCAACATATTTTGTCCCTGCACGACTTCAGAATATACATACTTCTTTCCAGTCAATCTATAAAAGGCCTAAATGAGTTCACACTAAGAGTGGCTTCACCATGTGTAGCACGCGGTACGCAATTGAGTTAATGTACTAAGGGTATTTGTGTGAGCACTGGCAGTTGCGCGTTGCCGTAATTTCGCCCCTCCAGTCCTGCTGACTGCTCCCACCGCTTGTCCATACTCTTCCAGCAGTCTTGTACCCTTTCCTACTTCCCCCATACTCTCCACTGGTGGATGCTTGCCAGACGGCTTGTGTTGTACGGCTGCCGTTTTTGCCAGATCGATATCTGTACGTTCCTAAAGTCCCTGGCCCTGACGGACACCGAAACACGGCGGGTGGTTACTAGGTGCGACGCCTGCCCTCAAATTCACTTTACTGTTACTTTATTAGTAACAATATCCGCAAAAGATTAAACAATGAAAAAACAAAGATATGCTAAGGAAGAGACAACACAGATTCCGATAACTGCATCCAAGAGCAGGGGACAGTGTAGTTCTTGGTTGCGAAAGGGAGGGGCAGATTTTGCAACTCAGAAGGACAGTGGCCGCCCAACACTGTAAGTTCGACGGCGGACGTAATTCGAACTCGGATACCATCTTAGTAGGTCCGCCAACCTCGCTGCGGCCCGGCTCCCATTGTCGCTTGAATATAGAGGGGGAGGGGGAGATAACACAATAAGAAAAACAAAATTCGCAAACTCGTAATGAGGCTAAAAAAAAGCTATGATAAAAGAAACGGCCGTAACAAAAGCTGACGCTAAGATGCGAATGATACCAAGACAAAATACACTGTAGTCAGTCATGGAGGGAGACAATATCTCGAATCAAGATAGACGCGCAAAACATGAAGAAGGACATAAGAGAAAGAAAGAGGAAGAAAATGAAAAAAAATTTAGAATTATGAGCGCAGCCTGAGCAATTAGGGTCAGTTGTCATGTTTCAGTTTCATTGATCTCTTCCATTGTGATCGCTTTGTTGGCGATACAAGAAACAACTCACTACCTCAGCGGTGATGTCGTGGAACAACTGTTCGTCGACACGACTTCATCTGAAATTCGTTTGGACGTTCATTTCGATGTCTCGTTTCGTTATCTGCCGTGTCCATGTGGGTTGACAGTTTTTTTGAATTTCTTTTTTTTTTGCTGTACACGACGGTTACATCCTGGTAACCCATTATCAGAGCATATTTCTGAAAAACATAGGTAGCCTGCGCAAGTATTATAGTTTGCTTGAGACACTTTGGTGCACGTGCTTCCTTTTCCCAAATGCTGGTTTGCCTGACATATTCTACCCGTGGAAATCACAAACGCTTCGATTGATGTTGTCATGAGGCGTACGTATTCATGCGTTGATTTTTTTGAGCAGGTTGCGCTCAAAAAAGACAATATATTCAAGCAGCTATCAATTACGAGTATTGCGACAGGCGCAGCAACAAAAGAGCTCCAAAATCGCTCCAACATCCTTATAAGGGAGTGGTTTCAAGTACCCATAAAACTTTGAGTGGAGGCCTACGTATTCCGATAGAGTATCGACTACGAATATGCGAACAGAAAGCGCTACAGAAATCTTCTAAGTGATTCCTTGGCGGCCAAATTTTGCCGTAGATGAAGCTGTGTGGTGGCTTGTGAGCGTGGCTGACTCATCGACTGTGAGTGCCGCTCGTAGCCTAGCGGTAACCGTCTCTATTTCCAGTTCGATTGCTTTTCCAGCTAAAGCCTCCTTTTCAATGTTCCGAGTTCTTCAAATAGCGACCTAGGAGCGAATTCCAGCGTATGGCACGACAGATATGATTAAGAATTGGGCGCTGTCCACCTCTTGTGACCACTCCACAACTCAAGCCAAGGGTTACGTCTCACATTTCATCGGTCATACACTTCTTAACAATGGATGTTTGATCACTTGGATGCGGATGTTACATCAGTTTGACATGAATACGCCTGGTGCTTGCGCCGCGGCGAACAGACGCTGGGGTCAGGCCGTGACAAACCACCGATTTTATTGAAACTTGCGTGTGAGGGTCGATCACTCCCAGAGCCAGAAACGCTCGTGTTACTGAGGTCGCCGTGAGGCGCTTTTCACATAATTGCCACTAGTGCCTCGCTGCATCACACGCTAACTTGCTGCTGCGGTTCTTTGTTTAGATTGGGAATGTACAATAATTTCAGATAGAAATCTGCTGGTCTGTAGCCTTGTTTGTTTCTTGATGCGGATGTTGGGGCTTAATCTCCGGTTTTCACTGCCATTCGCAGTGATATGACGCAATTTCACATCGTTCTCCCATAGAACTTTGAATGGGAATCACGAATATGCAGACTAAATGTGCTGCGGGAATCTCCCAAACGAGTTCTGGGTGGTAAGTTTCGCTGTGAATGTAGTGTTAGCATGTCAGCTTTGCTGGGCGTGCGAAACGGCACGAGGCTTAGTAGTGAGGACCTCGCTTGAAAGCCAATAGCTCACAGGTTTACATGCCGTTGATGTAAAAATTTTTGCTTTGTCTCCGATGGGACCCTCACTGAAGTTCCTCCGTGTTAACGGCTCCGCAAGCGAGTAGATTAAGTAGTTCAAGTATACGACGTGACACATTAGGTATGGGTTTAGCCATTATCTGTCCCTTGTAGACTCATTACCTATGCGACAAATCGAACTTTGGGCCAGAAACTTGTTCCGGCGGTAGTTTGACCCGCTTACTACGAATAACACATTCGTTTGGGCATTGACGCATGTCTAGCACAAAACGCGCACCCACTGAGGACTCTCCAGGGGTAGTTCAGTTTCCGAACATTACGCTCGTTGAGTTCGAAAACATTCGCCTTTGAAGAATCGGCACCAAGCATTTTCCACGTTGTTGCGATCAGTTTCTGTAATAAAAGATTGGGTCGTTCCCGCGTCAAGTGGATGTGATATTCGTGTTCAGCTGGTCAAAATACCCAAGTACGGGTTTCTGGCCAGTTTTTGAGCCGGGCTTGAACTTCTACTTGTCAGACGGGTTGTAGGTGTCACCTGGGGCAAATAGTGACTAAATCCATACTTGATCTGCTGGATCATATACTTGACCTACTTGATCTACTTGCTGTGCTGGGGCATAACTCTATTGCAAAAACTGGTGTGAAAGCTTTTATCGGAGACAGCAGAATTTTTTCACGAGTAGGTTGCAAACCTGTATGCTAGTGGCTTTGAAACAAAACCGTTGACGCTAATCCGCGCTGCCATTGCTTTCGGTCGCTCAGCAGTGCTCACGTGACAACACACTTGTGACATTGCATTCACAGCACACTTTGACCACCCAGAGCTCGTTTGGGAGAACCCGTTGCGATCGGCATCAAAAACCCTCTCGATGTTCCTAGATCTCCATTCAGAGTTCCATGGGAAGGTGGAACCACTCTCTTGTGAGATGAAATACGGAATGAACTCTCTTTCGTGCCAGCTTAGCTGTCAACTCCTCGAGTGACTTTCGCAGAATTTTATTTAGTTATTACTGTCGATGTTATGGATGTAACTGGCGAAAATCAGGACAACATACAAGATGACGTATTCAAATTACGGTTGGACAAGAACGGGCACAATATTTCCACTGAAGTGCAAAAAATTGGTCAGTTTTCCCATAGTTATGTAAGCACTAGGACTTGACTGAGTTGGAAGAATGCTAAAGCGAGGCGGTTTATTGCCGGCTACTCCACCTCCCAAACACAGCTTCGGCAACGCGATGAAGACATTTGCTTTTAATAGGCAGCTGGCAATAAGTACCGCTGGCCATGACTCGTGAAAGACATATTCTGCAATTGCAATTCGTGGCATGTGGACAACCTATTTTAATTCTTTGATGCAAACTGACGTACAATGAAAAGTCAGTGGACAAAAACGTCAAAAGGGAGCCAAATTGAAGGTCAGCATTGGACGAGTGTTCGAGGAAGAGACACTGCTGAGCGGACGAGAGAACAAGACGAGCGAGTCGGTAAAGTCGGTCCCCACGGAATGAACTCAACTACTGAGTTTCAGAAAAAGAACCGCTGGCATACGTAGTCAACAGGTAAGCGTGGCAGTTTACGGGTGGTGCTCCTTCGGCGGACAGCCGTACTGCCCTCGTCACTACTGTCGGCGAAAGCGGGGCAAGGGAGATTGCGGATTGGACAACTTCATCAAGGGATTTTGCTGACTAGTCTGTAATTGCGGAATGTGTCTTTTGGTTGTAGGGTTGTGATAATTGGCTTCGATGTGCAATTGTTACAACCGTTCACTCTTCAAAACTTTCACTTTACTGCCATATAATTGCAGAAGTTAACCAGAATAAGACTGTTGATACTACCAAGACTACAGCTCTAAAGTGCGGTAGCTGTTATGGAGCTCTCCCTGAAGGAAGGTGAATCATCCACTCTTTTGTGTCTCGTTCATCGCACTCTCTTTTAACAATTTAGCTGTTGCAACACATGTGAAGAACTGAAGGAAGCCTATCAGTTAAGAGGTTGGCAAGTGAACGTTGATGAGGTTGAGCAATGCAAGGTACAGTTAAATGCGCCCATTCAGTGTTTTGATAGTTTGTATGAGATGTCTACCAGAGCGATCCATGGCGAAAGATGTTGGAGCAGTATAAAGACGAAGGCTGTCGAGTTTATGGGAAACTTCGAGTTGCAAAAGTTGCAGGGAATTTCCACTTCGCGCCAGGAGATCCTCATCGTATAATGCGCGCGCACGGTACTTTTGATCTCCTTATTTTTGCTTGAGCCCAACGTTACAGCAACGAGATTTCTTTTTCTAAATTTTGAATTTGTCCTTTAGATCTTTGATCACCTTTCTTTTCCATTTTTAGTGCACGATTTTCATGACCTCGACTTGACCAATTTTGACACCGCCCATCGGATAAACCATTTGTCGTTCGGAAACGACTTCCCTGGAAAGAAACATCCTTTAGATGGAAAGGATACTACTGGTGATAGAGGTATTCACAGTAGAACGTTGAAAGGTTCAGTTTACTCTTATAGTACTTTATGGTAAAAATGAACTGCGTTCAAAGACAAACTGTACCTCATCTCTGTAGATTGTGGTCCTTGCCATGTGTGAAGTGAATGGGTCCGCAGCTGGTGGAGCGTGCCTTTTTCTGCGCTCAAGACTGTACGAAAACTGGGATGTAGAGTAGTGATGCCCGGGTGCCGTCTCCATGCTCAGTCCGCGCTGCTACACAGCCAGTAAGGCCCCTAACCATTACCGAGCACGCTACTTCCACGCTTGCTTTTCCCTCTCGCTCGGTCAGCTTTCGCTGCAGTCTTGGGAGAGTTACGGGGCTGTTGTCAACCAACATTTCTCTCGTTATGGGGCGATCTGTGCGGCGCAAGTCCTTCTTGCCATTCATTATGGAATAGGACCCCCTACGTTGTTCAGCGTTGACTGACCATGTTTGCACGAGCCCCCGCTATACAGAAGTCAAATATGTCCACTTGATAGGATTATACAATGATGGTCGCCCTGACATTAGCTCTTCGATAGCTGTGACGTAATTACACTATGTACACTAATATGTTAAGAACCCACTGATTACAGAGACCAAAACGCTCTGCCTTATCTGCCATCTGCATGGCTTATCTGTTTCTTTCGTTATGAGTAAGTTTTCCAGCTTTCAGGTGCTATTATGCATAACTATTACGTGAAAGTTGTACCAACAAGTTACGTGCACATGGATGGTCGTGTGGAGAACAGCCATCAGTTTTCAGTGACTACTCATCAGAAGGACATATCAAAAGGTGCTTCGAACCTCATCACTGATAGGTTTTTTGGGCAGTTCAACTTGGTGAAGGCTTGTGTTATTAGGTGTCTTCAGAGCGAGGCCTGCTAGTTAGCGGAACTGCAAAATGATCCCCGTTTTTTCTAAGTTGATCACTGGTCATCAAGGTTACCTCAAGGAGTAGGCCCACTTGGATTAGCGGACATTTTGGGGACATGTTGAGTGGGCCTTCGACCGCATGTGAGACCATCTCTACAGTCGCATTTATCGAGAAAATACTGAAGTGAACAGAAAAGAGTGCTGGAGACTTTTTTGTTCTCTTGAACTAAAATGCGCCTCTGTATCAGACCGTTGGTGGTGTTTAACACGTTGACGACAACGCGCGTGTTCACTTTTTGTCCGCGTGGGACACGCGCGCTTTTCTTGAACGCCACATGCGCGGTACAGCAGTTCAGACCGTCCCACAAAGCGTCTTTTTTGGAGAATGGATACGT